TATTTGTTAAAAAAGTTTGAAATATCCAATAAATTTCGTTCCACTTCATGATTGTGTCCCACTTGTTGTTGATTCTTCACAAAAAATTACAGTTTTATATCTTTATGTTTGAAGCCTGAAATGTGGCAAAAGGTCAAAGTTCAAGGGGGCCGAATACTTTCGCAAGGCACTGTAATATATCCCAAACAGTTGCTGTAGATTAATTTTCTGTCTCAACTAATTGTAGACCTGCCATGATTAGTCATGTAGCTGAAAATGAACAACAGATTTCAAATCATAATCTGAATTGTGACCACATTGTCTAAGTTTCATTTACAGTTTCTCCTGTAAAGAATGATATACAGTGTGTGTAAAGGAAAACACCTTGTAATTCATTTATTGGAAGCTTCTCATGTTTATACCTTTCTGAAGAAATGTGCACCAGGGGCCCTTTCCAAACGGTGACAAGAGGCCAGTAATGAAGCAGAGCTCTGCATGACTGTAATGAGTTAGCCACAATCCACTGTTTCACCCACAGGGACAAATCTGCTCCTGTCCTCTGCATCAACAGCCAGAAAAATCATCACAAGCACCGTGACTTATGTCCATTTCTCCATCCTTAATAACATTCTCCCATGTTGCCATTATCGATCTAACTGACAAGAGGTGTTGTGTACTAAATCTACTCTCAGCCCTGCAGTGTTCTTGCTTTGTTGGTGATTGGGGTCCTTTAGTCCTTTAGATAAGGAAATGTGATATTATTGGACTGGTAGGAGGAATCGACTCCTTTATTGTGCAGAGTTTGGGGGGTAAGAAGAGAGGTTGAGAAATCAGATCCCTCTCCAGAGTACTGTGTTTGTTCCTCTTCAAAAAAGACAACACAACACAGCCTGACAGGACACAACAAGGAGGGGATTTACTGTACAAGGAAGAGATGCAAAAGAGGACAACTTATTCTCAGGTCACTGCAGCCCAGAGGTCTGTAAAGTCAAGAAATGGTGGGAAAGTATTTGTAGACCATACAAAGAAATAAAACACTTTTAAAATTTATATAATATATTACTTGCTGTTCATATGCACATTTCCTGTATACTGCTAGACTTGCGGGGTTCCTGGTACCACAGCATCAATCAATTTACAAAGTGACAATGACAAACAGTCTTTAAAGGGTCAAAACTCATCTGTAAAATGTTCCCAATAACTGTCATTCTTCCACTTTTATCTATAAATGAAACAAGATATACCTATAAATTAGAGCTTTAGATATGCTTGTAGGTGGATTATGTTGTCCATGGACATGATGCG